ATTTAAGCAGTACTCGGCTGCCGGTGGAAGAGACACTGAGCAAGTCCTTGACGCAATCAAGGATGGCCTTGATACCGTTCACAGGGAGATTGAAACTTACGTGGTCACCGCTGCCGATCTTTCCGGCAAGGACGAAGTAATTCATACAGTAAAGGAAGGATTCCGACTTCTTCAAGCCGATATGGAGAAGACTATTACGGATACATCTCTTTTGACTGCGCCGCGAGGCAATCCGGACACACCTGAGCTTCTCGATGCCATGGAAAAAGAGTTCGAGCACCTACGGGGAACGATCACCACTCTTCTTCTACGAAATAATGCCACCGAAGACAAAGATGAGATCTTGGATGCTATCCGAGAAGCTGCTGATCGCCACAAGAATGAGTCTCCTGATGACGTTCTCAATATCATCAAGCAGGAATTCGAGGCTCTTCGGGAGCGCATGGAGATGACCGTCGTTCGCGCGGAGCCTGGCCCCGAGAAGGACGAAATCATATCGGCACTCCGTGAACATTTCGACAACTTACGTGAAGAGACATCGCTCAAAGATGGCAACGAAATTGATGTTATCAACACCATCAAGCAGGAATTCGAGACTCTTCGGGAGCGCATGGAGATGAGCGTCGTTCAATCGAATCCCGGTGCCGATAGGGATGAAATCATTTCGGCACTCCGTGACCATTTCGATATTCTGCGTGAAGAGACCTCACGTAGAGATGGTAACGAAAGCACCTTGTCCGCAACAAGCGAGCTCCTTGATGCATTCACAGATGGTGTTGACTCGATCCGTGATGACTTGAAGAAACTACTGGAGAAGCCAACTGAGTTCGACAGCTCCGAGATCCTCCATACCATCAGAGATGGTCTCGCGGATCTAAAGCTTGAAATGGATTCTCTCCGAGAGTCCAACAAAGAATTGGATGATGCCAGTACCGCCCGCGGCGGGGAACTCATGCTGGCAAACGAGCCTAGCATTGGACCTGACATTGATGGTCTAAAAGTGCTCATTACTCAGCTTCAAGACAAGGTCGAGGCCATTGAAACTACTCCCCATGCCGCAGAGGGTGCTGAGGATGCCCTTAAGCGCTCACACCTTGATGAAATTCTCCTTGCGCTTCACGAAGTTCAACTGGCCATGGGCGAGATGAGCACTCAACAAAGTACCGAGAAAGATGACCGCGCTCGAAAGGCAGACACTGAGGTTCTCGAGCAGTTACTCTTGAGTACTAAGACCCAGATCGATGAGCTTGTCTTCCCTTCGCCGGATCAGGTCGCCACTCCTGAGCATATTGGAGCCCTGGAGACCATGATCCGAGAGGCCAAGGATTCGATTGCCGAGTTCTCCAGTCGTGTTGAAGCCGAGGCTCCCACAAAGTCCGAGATCGGCACCTTGGAAGGTCTCATCAAAGAGGTCTGGGTTGTTCTAGATGAGATGAAGAGCAAAACCAGGGACGGTGAAGAAGAAGATGATTCGGAGAAAATACTCAAATCGGATCTCCAAACAGTGGAAGCCATGATCTTCGAGGTCAAGACTCAAGTTGACGAACTTAAGCTTCCTGATGTGGATACTCTCCCCACCAAGATGGAGATCCAGGAACTATCGACACTTGTGTGCGATTTCCGAGAGAAGATGGAGAGCAATAACCAATTAACCGCCCAAGGGTTTGATGCCCGCAAGGTAGAGCACGGTGGCCTTGCCGAAAAGATTGACGAAGCCAAGTTTGTCGTCGGCGAGCTTGGGGACGAACTCAAGAGCAAACTTGATGGCAGCACCGAGGGTCTGGCCGAGCTTAAACAGCTCCTCGAAGGACTAGCAGTCACCGCAGAGAGCTTCACCACCGTTGACAGCATCAAGGAGCTCACAGACCTCATCAACCGAGAGTTTGACCGTTCTCGGGGCGAGGAGGATGCAGTCAAGGTTGAAAAGGAGGAGCGGGATGCTGCTACAATGGTCAAACACGACGAGATGCGGGCCGCCGTCATTGTGGAACTTGGTACAAAGATTGACGAGAAAATTTCCGAAGTCCTGGCCAAGTACGAAGATGCGCACACGTCCCTGCACTCGAAGTTCTTAGAAACCGAAGAGAGAGACCTCGCACACACTGAATCTTTGGCAAGTACAAGAAGTCTTGCTGAGGACATCAAGCTTGTCATCGGTGCTATGGGTGATACTGTTAATGAGACCTGTGAGCGGTTAAGTGTGGACACGAAAGCTCTCATGGAACAAGTCGATCAGTCCCGCCAGAAAATGGAGGACATGCACAACGACGTGAGATCGCACCAGGAGCAGTCTCACGCCGAAAATGAAAGGGCTGCGGCTGCCACTGATCGAGTGGAGAGCAAGCTCCTCGAGTTCCACCCTCGTATTCTGGAATCTGTCCAGGAGATATTGACACTCGTCAGCCAGCACTATGATCACTCCCAGAAGTCAGCAGAGGACTTGAAGTCGGAATTATCAGCATTGCCTTCAAATATCCCGGCAATGCTACCTGCGCTACCTCCACCAGAATCAGACCGCGCACTCGCTATCGAGGATACCCCGCTACACAGCAAAATTGACGATCTTTTGGAACATGCCAAGAACAACAAAGTCCACGAGGTTTTGACAACTCTGCTCGATCACTCGAAGAATGACCAACTCCACGAGAAGCTTGATCGCGCCCTGGATCAAGGGTCAGGTTCGAATGATCAAATATATGAGAAGCTCAACGAGCTGCTCGATCACGCTACCAACGGGAGTGGTCCTGTTCATGAGAAACTGGATGCATTGCTCAGCCGTCCCCCGAATCCGCCGGAGTCTGACCAGTCTGCTATCCAGATGACGAAGCTGGACGAGATGCACAGGGACATCATGGAAAACTCCCGCAGAATGAATGAGATGTTCGCCGCCCAGTCAGCGCTGGTCGCTGAAGATACTGAGCGAAAGCGGCGCGAAGCTGAGGAGGCTGCGGTCGCCCTCGAACGAAGAGTTTCACAGCGTGAGCAAGTGGAAGCGGAGCTTGTTTGTTTGCATGAAGAAAAGGATTCTATGCTGAACATGATCCATCGTCTAAGAGCAGAGAAGGAAGATATGATCAAGCAAAACAACAAGCTCAGCAAGGACCTGTCTGGTCTTGAGACGGCCCTAGAGATACGCCACGAAGAGATGCGACACATGGAGGAACGCGCGGATGGCCTGGAGAAACGGATTTTGGAGGGTGTGCTCGACCATGCTCGTACCGTTCTCCTTGGGCGATCCAGTAGCTCGCAGGCCATGAACCTGAAGAGGAACCACAGCACTCGGAGTACCCGTTCCTCGCGCACAGGCGCCCGCAGTCCTAGCGTTGCGAGTACTGCTAGCACTGCTAAAGATCCCAAGGACAGTCGCAGCCTGCTCGGCAATGGTGTCGGGATGGCTTTGAAAAGAATGCCAACCTCGCTTCAGGCTGGCACAGTCGCTGTACAGCCCAACATCGGAAAAGAACGTCGAATCCTCAGCTTAAGTCACGTCACAGGCAACCGCGGTGTGGACCGACAGGTGAGTGCCAAATCTGGCATCACGAACTTGAAACGAAGCCACTCCGTCAAATCGAATTCTCTTCGCAAGACTTCTTGGGCTGGCCCAACTTCTGTTGCCGACAAAGAGAATGAGCCGTTCCACGAAGAGGACGAGCTCGCCAGCGAAGCGGAAGATGTCGGTCCACAGCGGAAGACCAGTTATGCGGAAAGCAACGCACCTACCGACCGTAAGACAAGCTACGCAGAATCCGACCTTGGCACTGGAACTGAACGCAACTATGTCCCGAGCAACGCTGGCACTAACCGGCGAACTAGCTATGCAGCAAGCAATACAGGCACGGAGCGCAAGACAAGCTACTCTGGCAGCGTCGTCGACAGCGTGGATACAGATGCTACGGATCAGCGTCGTGTTAGCGGAGTGAGCTCCGCAAACTCATATAGTGTGGCGGAGAGCTCAATTGCTGAGCACGACCACGAGGAGCATCGTGATGATATTTCAATCGATGGATCCGAGTCAGAAGACGATGCCCGGACAGCACGAGAGGATGCAGATGATTCTGGTAATGAACACCAGAATGAGGATCACGAAATGTCCCGTCAGATCAGGGAGGCCAATGAAGCTGCAGAAGCCGAAGTTCTCAAGCTGTTGGCTCCCCCTAGCGACAGCGGACTTGGCACTGATCTTGCGGTGTGATTGGATTTTTTTTTGGAGTTAGGGTGCTTGCACCATTGATGCTTTCTTTCTTTTCATATACCACTCTTGTTTTGTTTTTCGTCGGACGACTTGAATGACTTTCGTTTGTGACCATAAATGTCTATTGCTTAATGATCATTATCTTTTTACTCTCTCAGGACTCATGTGATGTAGTTAGATTGTATAGATCCATGTGGCCAAGGTCACCGGGTTGTTCACGAGTATCTTTTAAAATCACAAGTCATCACCTTCAAAGGTTATACGTAGAAAAGTCTCTTACACAAAGTATGCCTTTTCGGTCTTTTTTTGCCATATACCTGCTCCCTATAAAACATCCCTAAAACATTTATCTATTTTATAAACAGAAAATTGGAGACCACCAAAATAGACTACTAAAAAGACATCACAAGACTGCAAAAGCGGCCGTCTACTCTTGTATTTTTAGTTTGGAATGTTTTCTCGTAGACCCCATGTTTATCCATTCTCTGTTAGAAATCTATAAGCCTCCAGGGCCGACGCATCAGGCAGGTGATCAGGTGACTCCCAACAAATCATTGCTGCCTGAGGTTACGCCGAGGCGCTTCACCTGGTCACCTTTTCTACTCCATTTCCCATGGAATACGTATTTCTCTCATCTTCCTAGTTCTTTGGGTTTCCTTTGTTTCCTTTTCCTTTTTCCTTTCTTCATGATAGACAGGATAGGGTGCTCTCTCAACTGCATATAGATCTACATTCACCCCGATCTCCGAACCTCAAAGAGCTTTCCCCCACATCGGGTGATCACAGCTAGCTGAGGGGAACTCCCACGATGTTGGACCCCTTCCCACCGCCCCCGGAATGGCTGCGGAGCTTCGCAGAGCCCTATGCCATCCGGTTCAACAGCCCGACGCTTACCGACCATATCCACGAGGTTATCGCAGCGTTCGTCTTCTACCTGTTAATCCATGCGGTTCTCTCGCCTTGCCTCTCCCCAATCCTCTTCAAGTCCTACAACAAGCTCACTCCCCGCACGAAGCTGAACTGGGATATCCATGTTGTCTCCTTTATTCAGAGCATTGTCATTAATGCTGCCGCCCTGTGGGTCATGTACTTCGACGAGGAGCGCAGCTCCATGACCTCCGGTGAGCGGGTCTTCGCATATACAGGTGCCTGTGGTCTCATTCAAGCTTTGGCTGTGGGATACTTTGTATACGACCTGATTGTCAGCATTGTGCACGTGCGCATGTTTGGCATTGGCATGCTTTTCCATGCTGTCAGCGCCTTGTGGGTGTTTAGTCTAGGATTTGTAAGTTGCCTCTCCAATCTGCCTGGGACGTTCAGTATCAAGAAGATCATCAGCATTTATGCCCTTTCCCTCTTAAATTCAAGACACATCTAACATACTTCCCGCAGAGACCATTCCTAAACTACTTCGCCCCGACCTTCATCCTCTATGAGCTCTCCAGCCCATTCCTCAATATCCACTGGTTCCTCGACAAAGTCAACATGACCGGCAGCCGCGCCCAATGGTACAATGGCATGGCCCTGCTCTTCAGCTTCTTCGCCTGCCGCCTCTTCTGGGGCACCTGGCAATCCGTCGTGGTGTACGGGGACATGTGGAATGCCCTTCAGCACACCTGGGCCGCAGCCGCAGCCCCGCTCTCTGAGCCCGCGAGCGTCAACGCAAATGTCTTCTACCCAGCCCGCGACGGCAGCTTGTGTGTCAACGAAGCCTGCGCGCGCGCCAACGCCGAGATGACCAGATTCAAGGGGTACACTGCGGGAGGTGTACCGACATGGCTGGTCGTGACCTACGTCGGATCAAACTTGATCTTGAACTTCTTGAACTTTTTCTGGTTCTCCAAGATGGTCGAGACTGTTCTCAAGCGTTTCCGCACTCCGGCGGAATCTGCTGCTACTGGTGAGAAGAAGGGGAAGAATGAGCCTATTAGTGCCGAGAAGGCTGCGCAGCTCAAAGAGGATATTGTTCGTGATGTTGTTCTCGAGGCAGCTTCCAAGCTGGAGCAAGAGGAGACAGCCATCATGCAGGGCGATCTTTCCTCGTTGCGGGAACATGTCTCCTCGAGCGTGGACTCAGGCCTCGGGGAGGAGTTGCGGAAACGGAGGGCAGACCTTGTCGCAAAGGTTCCTTTGCCTGGTGCTTGAGGTTAGGTGAAGGGCTAGATTATTATTGTAATCTATGTATCTTTTGAGGGCTGTGAAGTTTTCTCCTCTCTTTTGTGCAGTTTTGCTTTATGATCGATTGTGAATCCTCTCCATGTTGCTTTCCCTTGGAGTTCTGTGGTTTGCTTCAATGCACATTGTTTTTGACCTCTTGGGCCTACTTGTTTATACTGGGTGCAGAGATACAACACCTGGCGTGATGGCTTCCGTAATTTGAAGTATTTCCAAGTTTACTACATTTAGTCATTTAGGCCAACATCCATCTCGAAATTTGAGGTGTTTAGGCCCATGTCGATAATATATCACTAGGTGTACTAGATTCTACAAGAGATCTGTTCACACAATTATTAAAATCCGGGATCATGTTGCATCATGTCAGATTCTTAAAATACGGATGTTGGAACAATTCAATCCTGCCTTTCATACCCCGGCTACACCAGTCCGAACACCACACAAGCGCCCGATATCAGATAGAGAAAAAAAAAAGAATACATCAACCCATCTCCCTTGCATAATGGTTGGCAATATGGAGATGCGAGTTCAAAGGAAAAGACAAAGCTGGAAAACCTACCGAGCAGCCGCAGCTTCGGGTTTAGCCAGCATGTACCGCACAGCTTCCTTGGCAACCTCAGAGTCCCAGGGACCATCAACGCCGCCATAACGGAACTCAGGCCCGCTACCATCCTCGCCGCCTCCACGGGTAGCTTCGCCCATGATAGTCTCAAGGTCGCGGCGCTGAGAGCTGATCCAGCGACGAACGAAATTGGCTGGGTCCTTGCTCAGAGCAGTGTAGAATGAGTGGCGGGCACGGGAGTGTGTAAGGGCCTGCACAATCAAAGCAACTTGGTCATCAAGCGAGGAGATCTGGCGTAGGCCAGCTGTGTATGCCGGGTTCTGAGTGAGAGCCATCATCTTTGTGCGCAGCGGGTCTTCAACTGCGACCTGGATATCGTAGATGGTCGGCGTTGGGTCGGCATGGAACTCTTCGTCGACGCGAATAGTGTAGGGAAGCTTGATAGGTTCCATTGGGCTGGTGTGAGGACCGACACTTTCAGGGATCTGAGGGAAGAACATTTGCTCTCGGCCAAAGATCTACAGAATTTGTTAGCAGGGTTTAGAAAGACCAAATATTCAAGATACATACCGAGCGTAGACGGTGATCGCAGCGCACTTGTCTTTTTTCTTCGTCTTCCTGCAATTCCATGGCTCGGATATAATCCCAGATTCCTAGCACAATTCCACTCCGGGTCTCCTCTTCGACATCCAGAACCTCGGCTAGCTCCTTGCTCAACTTGTATCGCTCTGGGATTTCATCCCGGACAAGGCTGATGGTGACATTCAGATTGTCCTGCGAGGCTCGGGAGAACTGTAGACTATCAAATTCGGCACCTGTGGGCGCTGGTGTATTGGAGTGTGCGTTTGGTTTGACCCAGTTAACTGGCTTGACCTCCTCTGGAATTGCCGCGGCGGGCTTGTCAAAGTCGATGGTGATAGCCTTGAAGAAATGGGAGAAGCGCTGAGACTGGGTTTTCGATTCAGCTTTCTTCGCTTTATCCTCCTCAGCTCCGTCATGGTCCATCGCATCTTCATCTTTCTCGTCCTCGTCGGGAACCGTAGGATCGGTTTCATCGTCGAGCAGCCGTCCTTCAATGCGTACTTTGTAGCGACCGGAGCCTGGGTTGTTGCCCGGGCCTTGCCATGGCTGGCTTTCGACAGTATTAGAGATCCAGATGCGCATAGTCCGATATTTCTTAACGGTCTTGTTGATGGAGTCTTGGATATCTAGCCTCTTCCGCACAACAGCGGCATCCAATCGCTTTTCTAAGTCGCGAAGGTTCTTATATTGCTGAACACCCTCGCCGATGATCACGTCTTCAATGTCGTCGGGGAGGTTCCTGTCGGTTGGCTTGCGGCTGCGCCGAAGGGCAGCATCGTTGGGGTGGGGCATGGGGCGTGCAGCCATATACTGTTGGGCAGCAGCGTGCTGTGGTATCGGAACAGGCATGGCGCCACCTATAGAGATGTAAGATTAGAGCCGAGGGGAGTGGGTGGAGACCGATGAAAGGGGACATACCTGGCCCTGGGGGGCGACGGGGCGCGGCTGGAGATCGCTGTGCATTTGGGGGCATGCTTCGAGCATAATGATGTGGCTGCATTGCCTGCTGCATCGGTTGCTGCAATGGAGCTTGCATTGTGGAGATATTAAGCACCGAAACGGTCGTGGGAGGATGACAGATGGGGGAAAGATGCGAGATGTTGGAGATGCGAGGTCGCGATTCTTTTGCCCGTCGCGCTTTACCCTTTTCGGACGATCGCGAACAACACCGTCAAGAGGGCAAAACTCATTGTTCTACTTGGATTTTGCAGTTGGCATTTCTTGAATAGCTAGAAGCTAAATATCAAGAGTTAGTCTAAATATTTAATTATTGATTACGTGCATATCTAATGGGTATTGAGTGTGATCGTGCATTGTCTCGATTATTTCCTATCAAGTCATCGTCTCGACGGCATTGGACATATCCCATCTTTTCTATTCCAGGAGAGACGCCTGGTTAGTATACAGACCTTCCACCACATTTCCGAGCTTTTCAATTGTCTCCAGTGCGGCATCGTAAGCCTGGTCCCGTTCTGTCTCATCGTACACAATCAAACATCCCGAGCCCTGGTCCAATACACCGATGATCACCTTGTCCAAGATCATTTGAGACAACTTCCTTTCCACCTGCTGTGTGTCCAAACCCACCATCTTCGCAATGTGGTCCAGCTCGACCCGACTGAAGGGCTCAATGACCTTGATCAAGTTCTGTTCCAGCATGGCATCGTAAAGACGACGGAGGTGGTTTCGGATAAATACATCACTGCCAAGTTCGTATCTGTAGTCCGAAAGGGCCTTCTCGTACTCCTCCAGAGACCGGTTGGCGTGGGCCCGAGCAACGGCCTTCATTGCCTCCAGGCGTGGACTGGCATACTTTTGCGCTTGTTTCGAGCCCTGCAACTGTGTGACATCATCCACCAGGTTCAGCATGATCTTGCACAAGAGCATGTACTGCAATGTGGCCGTAGCCAAATCACCCTCATCAAGTGAGCTGTACCCCTCGAGTGCCTCAATGAAATAGGAGTATGAAGTGGTGAAGTCCTTGTCTTCGGCGTGTAGCATGCCGCTCTGCATATCTAGACCGGCCTGCAAGTTGGGGGGCGTGTAAACGGAGGCGGCCGACGTCCGTGCTGCGGTCAGAGCAGCGCGTGCCTTTGCCTGGTTGCCCAGAGCGTGGTACACACGCGACTCAAGCAATTGTACCTCCACCAGCATAAGCTTATCATCCAGGCGCTTCAGCTCACGGAGAAGTGAGTTGATAAGAGTAAGCGCATCGTAATAGGATTGCTTCTGCATATAGATGGCAACGAGTCGGGCTTGGAGGGCCTGGCGAAGGAACGATCGTCGCTCGGCAATAGCCCATTCTATGCATGATTGGATGACGCTGCCTTGGAGTTCGAGTGTGTTGGGGATTTCGCTAATCAGATCCAGAAGCTGACGGACTAAACCATCATAGTTAGCCGGTTTTCATAAATGGGAACCAGCGCAACCTACCGAGCTTGGCTGTCTTCGCTTTGGCAAATGACGAGAAGGTATCACGGCTAGTCTTGATGAGGTCCGCGATCTCCTGTGGCTTCTTCGCATCGCGATACAACTCTCCCAAGCCAATCAACGCATGTTCGTAGTCTCGCGAAGAGGCCTCTGTGGATCCGGGACCCTCTGAGAGGATGCTCTGGTAACTGGTCGCTGCTTTCGAGGGATCCGACTTCACCAGATCTCGGACTTCTTGGATCTGTGGTGAGACCTTGGATGACATGATAAAAGACGGTAAATGACGAGCGAGCGAGATGGGTAATTAAAGAAAAGGGGAATAAGAGAAGATGGTGGTTTGAAGAGAGGTTGATGACCAGGTCGATGGGGAGCTTGAAGCTGGCGGCAGCTCATCGTCCTCTCACCGCCCGCTTGGCAAATCAAACAGAAAAAAAGTTCCATCTTGGCGTTTTTCTTTTCCTCTCTACATCGTTTTCACAACAGCACAATGGTGAGTGGTTTTTCTTGAATTTTTATTTCTTGGATAGCCATGCTAATGAAGTATAGAAAATCAAAGCACTTTCCCGCTCCACGGCGTCGCAGCAGGCCCCCGGGTCCGCTGTCGTTCGCCAGTCGCGGAATCTCGACCCGACCCAGCATCCTTTTGAGCGGGCTCGTGAATACACCCGAGCTCTGAATGCGATCAAGATGGAGCGCATGTTTGCTGCTCCTTTCCTAGCCCAAATGGGTAACGGACACGTCGACGGTGTTTACTCTATGGCAAAGGATCCCGGCTCGCTTGAACGCTTTGCAAGTGGCAGTGGCGATGGTGTGGTGAAGGTGTGGGATCTTACAACACAGGGTGAGGTTTGGAATACCCAAGGCCACGAAAATATGGTCAAGGGTCTGTGCTGGACGCCGGAGCGAAAACTTCTGTCATGCGCGAGTGACAAGACGATCAAATTGTGGGATCCTTACAACTCCTCATCTGAGGCCCCACCGATGGCAACCTATCTCGGAAATAGTGCCTTCACCAGTGTCACACATCACCGAACCCTTCCTTCTTTTGCTGCCGCTTCTGGTGTCATTTCTATCTATGACCTTTCCCGGCCTTCCTCCACACCATCGCAGACTCTGCATTGGCCGACTAGTGTTGACACTATCACATCTGTTGCGTTCAACCAGACTGAGACTTCTATCCTGGCTTCGACCGCCATGGACCGCTCAGTCATCATGTATGACCTGCGTACTTCCCAGCCGGTGCACAAGACGACATTGAGACTGGCATCTAACGCCATTTCTTGGAACCCCATGGAAGCCTTCAACTTTGCTGTGGCAAACGAGGATCACAATGCCTACATATTCGATATGAGAAAGATGGACCGTGCTCTCAATGTTTTGAAGGACCATGTGGCTGCTGTCATGGACGTTGATTTCAGCCCCACAGGTGAAGAGCTGGTCACTGCCTCATACGATCGTACAATTCGTCTATGGAACAGATCAACTGGTCACTCGCGTGACATCTACCACACAAAGCGGATGCAGCGTGTATTCTCGGCAACATTCACGCCTGACAACAAGTATGTCTTGACAGGATCGGACGATGGCAATGTTCGTCTCTGGCGTGCGAACGCATCGGACCGTAGTGGAGTCAAGACTGCCCGTCAACGTTCCAAGCTGGAGTACGATCAAGCTCTTATCAAGCGATACTCGCACATGCCTCAGATTCGCCGCATCAAGCGCCAGCGTCATGTGCCCAAGCCTATCAAGAAGGCTGGCGAAATCAAGCGCGAGGAGCTCAATGCTATTAAAAGGCGTGAGGAGAATGTGCGCAAGCATACTAAGAAGACTAACCTGGCGCCGAGAACCCATGAGCGCGAGAAGATGATTCTGGCCAGCGAGCAATAAATTGGTCCACTTGATCGCTTTTCATCGACCAAACTCGGGCGCACCTTGCAATCGAAACTATGGTCAGATGGGGAATATGTTCAATGAAGCAGATCGCTCTGCTTTATAATACATCTTATTGGACTCGTACAAGGGCCCTTTTTCTCATGATTCACGCCAATATACACCGCTCAGCTCCATTCGAGCCACCTATCAATCTGTCTTCCCAGATGTCTGCCGGCTTTGAGTCACAGCAGCATCTATCCCACTCAGATATCTCGCAACCCGCTGCACCGTAGCAGGTAGCACGGCATACCAATTCACGAGCGTTGCATAAATAGGCAATCTGATCACACCGCCTCGACCGCTATCAATCGCTGCCACCATCTCCCGGGCGACTTCGACCGGTTCCAAAACTGGCGCAAAGAAATGGTTCGGCGCGCGCACCCAGCCGAACAACGGTGTCGACATCTGCCCAATTTCAACTAGCAATGTCTTGATAAACGGGTTACCCCGAATTTCCGTTTCTATCGTCCGATGCAGCGCGCTAAGTCCAGCTTTGCTTGCTGCATAGTCTGATAGTCCTGCGGCACTCAGCTGGCCTAGCACGGAGCTGACTGTAACAAGGGTTCCTCCGTTCTCTGCTGCGATGATCCCAGGCAAGAAGACTTGGTATAGATGGAAAGCCGCCAGGAGATTAGTGCGGATGGTCTTTTCGAATGCGTCCGCTGGCAGATCAAGGAACGAGAGGCCGTTGATCCTGGCCGCGGCACAGTTGATAACGATCGTCGGTGTTCCTAACTGCAAGATATTTAGCGAATCAGACCCCAATTGAAGCAAGCCATAGCGCGCTATGAAAACAACTTGTCCAATAATTTCAAATCCCCAGAACCGTAGTACTAGTAGGGCGATATGGGGTCGAAGCTCACAACGAAACCAAAAAGCAGAAACAAATAGACCTACCTCTTGCAAAATCCTCCCCTTAGCAACCTCCAACGCGCCCCTCTCCGCGACATCACACGTAACATACAAGACGCCCTCCCCAAAGACCTCATCGCGGCTATCTTCAGGAACATCCTTAATATCCAGCACAGCGACACTCGCCCCGCGCATGCTATACATTTGCGCAATCAACAGACCCAGCCCACTCGCCCCGCCAGTGATGACCACGACCTCATTCTCGAAATCGACTGTACGTGGGGCGCCGTGGGCGGCGCGCTGATTAATAACCCGCGCGATGAAGAGGACTGTCAAGACCGTTGCATAGCTCACGGTGAGGATCCAGGCTGGGTCTGTTGATGGCGTTACTTGGGCGCGCAGGCAGAGGACGAGAATCCAAGCTATAAAGGGGTGGAGGAGGGATTTGGAGAGGATGCTTATCAGGGTGTCGATTGTCACGAGGTTGCTGCGTGGATTGGTTGAGCCGGGGGTTGATTGAGGTGGTTTAGCTGTTGTTTTCAGGAACTGGGGGTTTGAGGATGACATTGCAATGTCTGCTTTGGCTTTGACTCTGGCCCCTGCAGATTGGATGTCAGGGATGTGCAGTGAAGAGTGAGGACGACCTCGGGAAATTCGAGGCGCGTTTGGTTTTGCGGGGCTGATAAGAGATAAGGCGATCTATAGGAGCAGCTCACCGCAGCAACTTGGACATTGGTGACACTTCTACAATTTCACTGCCAATTGAATCAATTTTTTATGCCTGGCTCGTAATAGGGAGAAGGAGGAAAGCCAAGTTTGTAAATACTCAGCTCTGCGGAATACTGACCTAGACATTCATTAATAAAGCTGAGTTCATCTAACACTCATGGGAGCTTTCGAGCTTTCCACCCACACAAAGTGATTGCCAACTATGTGTATATATCCTGCCTACCAGCTTCGGTGCCCATCCTCCAAAACGGTCCATAACATGAATGAATGTGGAACGTTAAAATAAAGCGTCCTCGGAAAACTCTTCTATCTCTGTAATAAAGGTTCCAAAAGTTGGGTCGAAGGAGATGAGAGCAGAGCCCCTTCTAAGATTGGTTCAGCTCCTGGCAGACAACGGGGTCATATCCAGTGAGTAAGAAAATGGGGGTACTGGGGTAGGTGACGATGTTCCCAAAAGGGAAGGTTCTCTCAACTGGGATATTACTAATTTCTCTGGGTTTCTTAGCTGAAAGAGGGCACATATACTGCTGCTCCCTGGCTAGTTAATCAAGGTAAGAAAAGCTAAGACAACCCCTAATATAGAAGAGATGAAAGGTTAGAATAGAAACCCCGTAGAAAAACTGGTCAATTGAGTTATCGTCAGATAACTATCTCATTTGAATGCGGAAATATGAAGAAATAAGAAACCACACAGAACCTGTAGAACTCCACGTCATAAAGAAGAAATTGTTGTAGCCGAAGACACGAGAAAAGACATAAAATATTGAAAAAGACAGTCAGGTTCACGAAACTCATTTGATCATATCAAGCATCCCTCCTATTTTCGAAGAGAAAAGACCAGCGTAAATCCACAAAGTCACCCATGATTGTGTCAGACAGTGCATTCCCCCTGCTTTGAACAAGAGCATCGCTGATCAATCACCACTGCTTGCGCTGACGCAATGGTGAATGAGGCTTCTTACTCTGAGCCTCCTTAGCTAAGCATCGGATAGAATGACTGAAGGTCAGACAATGCTTATCCTCAGTCATGATGTCGAGATCGCTTGGGGCCGATGGAGCCTGGAAGCCCTGGCCAGCTTCAGGGTAAGCACGATAATCTTCGGGGTCATAATCAGATTCATGCTGGGATCCGACTTGTGAAGACTGAGACGCGGATGGAGTAGGAGATTGCAGTCGAGATTCGGAGTATGATGACTCCTCATCGGTGAGCAGGTCGGAGTTCGACGAAACGAAAGAGGCCTTACGAGCACGTCTAACTGCAGGCGAAGCTCGAGATGTAAATTTGCGCGTGGCCCCGGAAGGGGTCTGCGAGGTTGTGGTGGTAAAAGGCTGGGGAGCAATTGTGGAAGGATGCGCGTGAGAAATTCCAGCAAAAATCTGGTCCGGAGGGATACCACCAAGAGCCGCCGGGGGAGCAAAGTCGGGAGGAGCATCGGTGACCATTGTAGCAAAGACTTTATCGGCATCCAATGCAGTAGCTTCGGGGGCTAGTGTATCAGAAGCCTTACCCATCTGCTGGTTTGAATCCATAGCGTTGGCATCCTCAGACGGGGATTCCAGACTTCCCCAATCAAGCAATGCGGAACGAGAGTTTTTCTTCGGTGTAGGTTTGGAGGCCCGATTATTGTGTGGCGTCGCAGAAGGTGATGGTGTGAAATCAGTCACGGGTTGCATGTCGTGGGGAAATATGGGAACCGATGGCCACTCGTTTGAGACTTTCACTATAAGCTGGACTAGCGAATCATGCGAAAGAGATGAGAGATACGCCCGTCGTTCTTCTTCTGAGTGATAATTTCCACCCATTTGAGGTTCAGTCACAGGTTGTTTCTTTGGGCGTCCAACCTTTTTCACATTTGTTGCAGCCTGCTTTCCAGATTTTGTCTGGGCTGTCTCGGGTTTACACTTGATGCAAAACCAATCCATCTCCGGGATTTCGATAACCTCATTATCAACGTTCGGGTTGTGACATTTCTGATGCCACGGAGCATCGCACGAGTCACATAGAACAATCAAATTGTTCGAAGGGCTGTGTCCTCGGTAGCAGCCGGTGCAAACTATATACACCTGGCGGTTCAGACGCTTCCGCTTTTTTGCTGCTACTTTGACAGGTGGCCCTTTTGTTATCACAGGCTCGGTTTCTCGAACAGCTGGCTGGGTAACACGACGGCCAGATCGAGTTCTATTTGAAGCCAGGGCGGCGCTGGCATTTTGCTGACTCGTTTCCGTAGCCCCGGCTGTTGTCCAGACTGCCTCTTCCTGAGGCAATGCTGGTGGTCCCCAACTTTCCCAGAGCATATTGTCAGCCACAAGCTCCAGTTGAGATGGTAGTGGCTGGATCCCCTCGGAAACACCCTCGTGGTCAAATATGTTGCCCTCATGGACGTTCTGGAGGCGCCCCGGGTTGATATTGGGGGCGGGGAGGTCCATGAACGCCGGTGAGACCCTCATGCTGAATTTCCTTGTAAATAGATGTTTTCAAAAAGAGGACTTGACAAGGTTCTTTTGGAAAACTAGTTGATCTTTTGCGTGAAAGTAGAGAACAAAGCAACAGGTGATGGCGAGGAGAAAACCACTCTTTGTGTTCTTCTAGGGCAATGTGAGTCTTCTAGCCTGATACAAACCACAATAGACACTAGGCTGTTTGCTGAGTGGGTAGTCAAACATAGTTGGCTCCTGTCAATTCTTCAACTGGAAGTAGGGTTGGAATGAAGTCGTTGCATGAAAGACCTTTGTATATCAGTCACGTGATATCCATATGTAACCTTAAATGGTGACAGATCAATCAGGCGTACCACAAACGTATGGTAAAAATGGCAGATATTGAAACTGTCGGAATACAGAGATGAATTACGTGGTTAAGACAGGGTAATTTACCCCGAAAATCATGTGATAAGTGGTACTCGACATACCATACAAAGGTGCATAATACAGTTAGTCATCTATGTCCGCTCAGATTATTGAAAAAGCGAGTTTAGTCTAGTTAGAGCTACCAGAGTCTTCAATATCTGCGATTTTTACCATACGTTTATGGTATGCCTGATTTCTGTCATAGACTTCCATACACACACTCTCTCTCTAATCCCTCCCCTCTTTATAGTTTCAGACTCCACAATACACATATTGTGCTTTGATGATCTCATCTCCTAGATCGTTGATTCTAACACCCCATGGCTCCCAAACACCAGCAAGCTCTCTAGGTTTTTATGGTCAGGCTTATATGCTCTATTTAACGGATGCCTATTTATCACGCGAGCCAAGTCGCCTCGTGATAAGGTATAATTTCTACTTTCCCTTTCAACCCTCGTATCCCGTTGCAACTTCACAAATTAGATATCACTTTATGATAGGTAAAATAGCGGTGGTGGATAATGTTCCATAGAACGGCTGTTTACGTACGGGGCAGTGACACGAGTGTCATGTCTAGCTATGCAAGACGGTCAACAAGATACATTGTCTCCCATTCCTCGAAAGCGGTCTACGTAAACAGTGGCAGCGTAAATGCAGGGGGCCTGTCACACTACATATTATTGCATGTACGGCCCGAGCCTTGGGTTTCCATTAGCCCTGTGTAACTATTGCCCAATGGGACATTCACCTTGTATGTAGCAGTGTCGCTGCCGGGTAAAGGTTTGGCTTGAAAAAAACATTGATTTCGCTTGGATCTTGATTTATATGGATCCAATTAAAGATATGTGTTCTAGCCTGATAGACATGTTCGAGTGAACTGTCTTCGAAATTATATGAGACGCCCAAAGACAATCCTGTTTTTATTGTGGACCTATTCCTCGCCCCATAGGAGTAGTTTACCACAGCCTAGCCTAGTCACTATATCTCTAATGGCACTGTAGATATCTTAACCCCCTGTGAATGACTCACTACATTTACCGATCATAGAATTATCGGTGAGCCAACGCCTGGGTCCATGAAGTTCACCCGTTCTCGGTACTACGATGAGGCATCCTTTTGCCTTAGCATTCACACAACATGAGATCTGCAGCGCTGCACAGGACAACAAAGGACAAGTCATTTTCGTGCAAGGGAGTCTTGGTCTTGTGTAGTGAGACAACATGATGTCTGCAGCGCTGCACAGGACAACCAAGGGCAAGTCATTTTCGTGCAAGGGAGTCTTGGTCTTGTGTAGTGACACAACATAACGTATACGAGTCTACGGAGTAACCTACAATGATTAATCCTAACCGTTCAGCGGAGCTTAAAACGAGTTCGGGCACCCTCTAAATCGCTTTATTACTCAGGTGCTCTACTTTTCTTTTTCACAAATCCCTTTACCTACTCCAAATCCCGGACATAATAGACACAATGGTCTATTCGCAGTGGGTTGTTATCAAGATTTCGAACTTGTGCAGAGGTACTATCTCGATTGCCAATGCAAAGGTTGACTAGTAAGTGATGAAATTGATGCTTGAAGATATGTTCTCTTTTGTAACAGTCACAGTGGCAAATTCCACAAGATTGAAGACAAAGATGCAGAGCTATCCCCAGAGGACATCAACAGTATTGTTCTCAAGCCAAATGACGAAGCCAACGTTTGTGCGTGCGGTAGGGCCAATATTCATTACGGCACGGAAGGAAGCTTCGAGTTGTTCGATGGAGCGGACAAAGTCTGCAGGATCTATTTCGATGACCCGTACAACTCTAGCATCAACAATTTCCAAATCTTCGAAAAGAACAGTCGGTATGCCATTGACGTGAGTTCATGGAGCCGCGAAGGTGCTTTGGGGAATGTTAGTGTCGAGGTTCTGAAAAAGTGAAGCACGGGTTGTTGATATTTGGGGGTTCAGAGTCAGAGGTTTTCGGGTTGCTTTGTAATATGCCTTGGTGTAGGTTTTTTTCCCCTACTGGTGTAAGGTTTTTCCTATATCATTTTAAATTTTACAAATGCAGAGGCAGTGTTGTTTGAGAGTCATATAACTGTACTTGTAGACTGCGACATCGCCCGTCCATAGGCGCCTCCTAGACGCCTATGGCCTATCCACAGTGGGCCTTGGGCGTTTCGACTATTAGGATACCCGTCTAAAAGGCCAAGGCCTATAGACGTGCCTAACATGTTAGGCATTACCTAGTTAATTGTCTATTCTTAACGTGTTTCACACCATAGCTGGACACCCCACCCAAAACGCGTCAATTAATTTAAACCCTATTCCTTCAACCACCTACTATGCCACTAAGTCGCTCTAAAAGCTCTAGAAATTCAACGGAGTAAGAGGGTAGGATCTCACTGGCTATCTAGGCCTTTAAGAATCAAGAAATCTCTTTAATTAGTGAAGCTACCGGCTGATTTAACGTATCTAATTCAACTCTCTCTATACGTCTCTATGGCATATAAAACCACGCGATTTCTCGCTTTACGCTATAAAAATTGATAGAAATTGATAGAAACTGAAGAGCAATCTCTTTAAAAAATGGATTCTCTCTATATATTCTCGTGGAGTACCCCCCTAGCCCTCTATAGTACGAGAAATAGCGGATCTTCTTGTTTAAAAGCGTAGAACTACTCTAGTTCTTTCGGTTAGACCTAGGTTTATCGTTCCTTTATATAAGCAACTTAGCAGAGTGATTATTATAGCCTAGTAGTAGACTAATATTTAGGGAAGTTAGTTACATAGTATGTAATATACAACAACAACATATCCTAAGAACCCACGATTATGTCATTTCATTTTTCTGATATCTCACAAGTCCTACGTACGAGCCCCCAAGTTATGCTTGATGATATGCAAAAGGAAAGTCCAAGAGCTCATGGGATGTAGTAAAAATGTCCAAGAAGGATAAAAAGATGACAGAGGAACCGAGGGGCCATTTGAAATGGCTCTAATTTAGTTTTCTTATATACAGACCTCGGGAGATCCCTAGGTTTCTTTCATGTTTCTCATAAATAATTCAAGGTTTACGACACGACTCCCTCGTCCTTCAAGCGAGCGATATCTGCCTCCCCATAATTGAGAACACTGCCCAAGATCTCATCCGTATGCTGGCCCAAAGTAGGAGGAGGCGTGCGCACACCCGGTGTCGCTTCGGAGTACTTGATAGGCGTGTTGACCATCTTGATGGGACCACATGCAGGGTGGTCAACCTCCATCACCATACCTCGTGCCAGAACTGTTGGCAGGGTCAGTATCAGTACCGTTTCTATCACATGGAAAGAAAATATGCAAACTTACCATGCTTGTGATTGAGGGTTCCCTGGATGTCGTTGACAGCCGCATAGGGCATACCGCTGCCCTCAAAGATATCCAACCACTCCTGCGTGGTCTTCTGCACAGTAGTGCTTTCAATCATACCGTCGATCTCTGCCCGGTGCTGCACTCGGTCACTGTTAGTGACGAAGCGGGGGTCGGTTTTCCACTCAGAGAAGCCCAGTCGATCACACAACACGCCAAAAAGCCTATCATTGCCACCGCCAAAGAGAATATCTCCGTCGCTGGTCTTGTAGCTTCGGTAGGGTACAATGGAAGCTGGGAGGTGTTAGTTTGCCTGTTATTACACTCGACACAAAGAGACTGTTTGCCGCTTACGGTGTGCTGTGCCCCAACGGCCTGAATCTTTCTTCCCGCTGATAAGCGCAGAGCTAGCCAGGTTCGATAGCGTAGCAACCTGGCAATCACTCAAACAGGCATCGATATGTTGACCTCTACCAGTCCGACCCCGAGCAATCAAAGCCGCCATGATGGCATTTGATGTGTATAGTCCGGTGGTCAGATCGGTAACGGCAACACCAACCTTTACTGGCGCACCATCCCGAGCACCGGTAATGTGCATCAATCCCATCTCGGCTTCCACCATGACATCGTAGCCTGCACGGTTGCTATATGGACCTGTCTGTCCATACCCGGTGATACTGGCGTAGATCAACTTGGGGTTGATTTCCCGCAGCGTTTCATAGTCCATGCCGTATTTTTTGAGACCCCCAGGGAGATAGTTTTCGACTAAGACATCGCATTCTTTTGCGAGCTTGTGTAGAATCTCGACACCTGATTTGTGTTGGAAGGATAAACCGAGGGATTTCTTATTTCGGTTGACCTATATCCATGATTAGTATTGTGAGAAGCTGTTTCGTACTCAAGAGAAGGTTCCTACAGCTAGGTAGTAAGCGCTCTCGCCAGGACCCTTCCTGGAAGCATCTTCGTACTTCGCATACGGCGGACCCCAAGCACGAGTATCGTCGCCGCGCACAGGGTGTTCGACTTTGATAACATCCGCTCTATATTTTGTCGTGTTAATATCACAGAAATTATCCATTGGAGCTGTTTCATAGCCCCGGAGTTCAGCACATACCCTAAATCACCAAGAATTTGAGTACAATAAGGCTAGAGCAAGTCAGTTTGGATGGCAGAAACAGAAGCATATCGAGAGATGTACTCACTCCGGCCAAAACGCGTGTCATATCAAGCACCCGGATACCAGCCAAAGGCAGCGACCCATCGACTGAAGCTGCACTGGAGTAGCTCCGCCCTGGTACTGTGCGCCGCAAGGCATTACTACCCCAGGACAAGCCTGATCGACGGGCAACGATCGGGAACCTGAGCGCGACCGTCATGATGATATATACGAATGCAGCGAAACAAAAAAAAAAAGCTCAAACACAAGCCCAAAGAGCAAGAATTCGACGTTAAATGGGATCTGGGGAACCGGCGAATCTCCGCCAAAACGCCGACGCCGACACCGCTCGGAGGGGCCAATGCCGAGGCCACAATCGCGGGGTCATTTTCCTGATCATCAACCGCAGCTATGTTCACAGGTCTTGTCGAGACGATCGGAAGTGAGTATGTCTTTTTTTTGTGAAGTGAGTCAATGGCTAATGTGGTTTTACTAGCTGTCACGGCCTTGGAGCCCATCGATACCTCGTCGAGCGGGGGCGGGGGAACGTCGCTCACCATCTCCGACTGTGAGGAGATCCTCACCGACGCGCACCTGGGCGATAGTATCGCAGTGAATGGTATTTTTCTCTTTGTTTATAACGCATGGGATATTGTCTAAAAGTGGTCTTAAGGAACATGTCTTACGGTCACTGCATTCGATAAGACCTGGTTCAAGGTTGGCTGTGCGCCGGAGACACTGCGACGCACGAACCTGGGTTCCTTGCAGGCGAAATCTCACGTGAACCTCGAGCGCGCTGTGTCGGCCGATACCCGGATGGGAGGACACTTTGTGCAGGGCCATGTCGATACCGTTGCGGAGATTCTGTCCGTCACGCCCGATGGAAATTCGTTGGTGTTCCGGTTGCAGCCGCGCGATAGAGATATTCTGCGCTATGTTGTGGAAAAGGGCTACGTGACTCTCGATGGTGCTAGCTTGACTGTCACCAAGGTGGTCGATGGACCGGATGGATACTGGGAGGTTATGCTCATTGCCTACACGCAGGAGAAGGTAGTCACTGCGGCGAAAAAACCCGGAGACTTTGTCAACGTTGAGATCGATATCGTGGGCAAGTATGTCGAGAAGAGCGTGCAGGGATACTTTGCTGGTACCTCCGGTGGAGATTTCGCTATCTTGGAGAAGATGGTGAACAGGATTGTCGATGAAAGGCTCAAGAAATAGACCAGAGTTATGAATAACGAATCTCCGCCACTCAAAGCCATCGTAATATTCGGTGAAGGCAAGGCAAAATGTACCATCCTTGGCTTTCTATGTTCTAGAATGCACTAATCGGCACATTCGAAAAAGGAGTTTCCCCTCTGATTATAGCGAATAAAAGACATACAGCCAGAAGTACGATTGGTTCCAAGCAGCAAAAAGGCTAGAACGAGCAAATGGATACAAGCAAGTCTCTGTCGAGTTATTAAAAATCCTCACAGAGCATCCCATAAACTGACGACACCGTTGCGCGGCTCAGTGACCAAGGCAACTGCTAGCATGAACCTATTGATGTTCTTCGGATTGGGGATAATGGTCCCTTATTTACCTTCCATTCCTCCCACAGGCCGTGGCACAAGTTTATACACCAATTGGTGTGTTGAGGTGATGGAGCTTATGAATTTGATGGGATTATTGGGTTGAGATGGTGGACTGGGATGGTGGACTAAACTGTATCAATGACAGGACGTCCATGCCCATGATTATAAGGTCCAGCATTTAAGATATACGTCTTTGGGGATGCGCTTGTAGTAAAACCAAGTTCAATCTAGGGTGAAGGGTGAAGAATAAATTTGCAAGATTGCATTATATGAAGACAAAACCTGAAAAAAAAAAAACGCCAAGATGCCTATCGGGTATGTGACAGTGACAGAAATTTTGGTCCATATGACATGGATATAAGACATGAAGACGGGGGTCATTTTGATACAATCAACCAGAGTGTGATAGACAAGGCAGCACGAGTCTGTTCAATCGCAAGAGCCGGCTAGTCCGTCAACCGATCAAGTAGAGGCATTCGAAAAGGTGTGTTGTAACTTGAAACAGTCACCTACTCCTCCATAGACTCGTCCGAATCGGCGTCAGAGTCATCATCTACCGCTTCACCTTCACCCTCAGCGTCCTTGTCAAAGTCATCGTCACTGAGCCAATCTTCATCATCATCCATATCCTCATCCTCATCATCATCAGCCACTTGTTGGCCATTGCCCCCTAGCCTTGGCTTTCTCCTGCTTCTTCCGCTCAATGTTCGCCTTCTGCAGCTTCTTTCTCTGCTCCTTCTCCTTCCTCCGAACATCCCAGCTCTGGTCCATTTTCCGCATCTCCTTCTCGGACTTCTTAATGAAGTCGTGCCACATAATCTTGCCATCGCAGACTCCATCCTCAACCTTCATCAAGC